CACAGTCTGGAACATCTCCTGCTTGGTCCCTGTGATATCAGTGATGCTTGGTGAAATATGGCTGGTACGAGTTGAAGCTGTCCCCGGAAGTTGGGCCCTTTTTTGATCTTCAGGAGCACAGGTGGGAATGTGTCCTGCTGATTCCCTGGTCCAGCAGAACTGCTGATAGACTAGCCGTGAGGAGGATGGAGTCAAGTATAGGATCCCTTCAGGATCTCCAGGGCCATAGACAGGAGGGTCTCCTGCTGTATCTTTGCCAGCAGGACTGTTAGTAGACTGTGGCTGAGAGGAGGCTGGAACATAATATGGGGACCCTTCTGGACTCTCAGACACAGAAGGGCATGTTCCCTGTTTGGTCCCAGGGCGAGTAGGACAGTTTAGGGTCCCTTTGAGGGGGCTAAAGCTGAGTATAGGCCCTGTCCTGGGTCTACAGTGTTGTGGATAGGATTGTCTCTTGCTAAGTCCCTGTGCCTGCAGAACTGACTGACTGTAAACTGTTGCTCATAGGGGCTAGAACACAGTTAAATGGTACTTTTGAAAACAGTCAAACAAAGTTTGGTGTGCTTACCTCCAAATACTCAGGGACTGCAGCTGACTCACAGGCCACATCACGGCCGCTTCTGGGACTGGGGTGTGTGTGCCTGGTACTTGAAGCATGGATGGATGTGACTCTTTGTTGGTCCCTTGGCATGAGATGCTTGTAGCAGGATCATTGCCAAATGGGGCTGTAAGCTGAGTCCTCAGGGGTAAGGAGCCATTTCTGGGAATAAAGACCGTGCACAGTTAGTAAGTGGCTGCCTGGGTGAGGGCTTGCCTTTTCAAATTGGCTCTCCTCAGTCTTAGACTCCTCAGGGTTTCAACATCTCCTACCTGGATTGCAAAGCTCCCACAAAGGACTTTTTTTCTGTAGCAATCTAGTGTTGTTAAGGGGATATATGAGCAGAAAATCCTTATTTTGCCCCCTTGTGATGTTGCTCTTTGAATATACTTTTAAAATTAAGTTACAGGATCCAGAGGTACCAAGAATCTGGGTGTAGCTTTGTTGGGTCCTCTGGCTCAGGATCATCCACAACCGAACTGAAAATCATTGAGGCTATAGAATACTTCTCCCACACTGTCAAACGACTTGACCAAACTGACATTTAATGAACACTCTACCCAGCAATAGCAGAATACACATTATGTACAAGCACACATGGAACATCTTTGAGAATGACCATGTGCTAGACCATGATACAAGTCTCAAGATTTTAAGACTGAAATAATATAGACTTTATTCTCTGGTGGCAACAAAATTAAATTAGAAATCAACAAATGAAGGAAATTTAATAAACCACAAGTATTATGAATTATACACCACATTTCTCGATAATCAATGTGTCTAAGGATCATTGAAATATTTTGAACTGAATGAAAGCTGAAAAACAACACATCAAAATCTATTGCATGCAGGTGAGGTAGTGCTTAGAGGGGAATTCTTAGCTTTAGATACCTATTTTAGAAAATAAATCAATAATCTAAGCTTGTTCCTTAAAAATCTATAAAAATTAGAACAAATTAAATCTAAGGCAAATATGAGCTTTATTTTGTTAAGTATATTGATTCTTTATGTTCCTTGAAGCCTTGCACTGATATCTTTACATTTGAAGAAGTAGCTCTCTCCTCCAGTGTTTACCAACTGGCTTTGGGAGAGAAAAAAGCCAGTCATCAGTCAGCTTAGCTAGGGTTTTGGGGGCTCCCTCAGGCCTTTTCTCTGGGTATGCTTGCTCCACTATTTTTATTCTCTCGTGGGAGTGGGGTGAAGCTTAAGACTGTGTGTCTTCTCTCAAACACTGAGCCAGTCTGAGTGCAGAGAACCTCCCATTTATTTTCCTAAGGTATTACCGTGGAGTGTTCAAGATCATGCAGCTTCTCCCAGTTCAGCAGAGCCACCCAGCTGCTGATTGCTGTCTGAAGGATTGTGCACTGCTTTTGTGCGTAAAATCTGGTGGTGAGCACAGGGTGCTGGCTTCAGGGTGTGTGTGTGTCAAGTGCTGCAGGCTGATGGGTGGTTGTGGGTGAATGCTGGTGAAGTGTCCAGTTGGTTCATGGGTGTGGCTCTTGCTGGAATTTGTGAGTTAATAGACTACATAGCTGGTTGTTATAATCTACACATTTGCTGTCAGTCCCTGTCCCATTTCCCTACTCCTCTGTGTCCCTAGACTATTCAACTGTGCCAATTCCCCCAAAGTTCCAGGTAGGATGAGACAAAAGTGGGCCTCTTGGGCCGTGTTTCACAGCACTGGGGAAACTAGGCTCTCATATCCCTTTTACTTTCCCTCTCAGAGAAATTATGGGCCATGAAGGTCTCTCTTGGCATTGAGTGTGCCACCTTGGGGGAGGGGTGATGTGGATAAAGTGAAACCTTTCCTCTTACCACCTTCAATGAAGCTACTCTCAGATTTTTTGCTTCACCAGGGGACTGGAATCTTTCAGTTGGATTCCCAGCTCCCATAAAAGTATTCTTATCCATAGTAGTTGCTAAAATAGGTGTTTCTGTGTGGATACACAGCCTGGAATCTCCTATTCTGCCATATTGTTGATGTCACTCTCCTCTTCTTTTCATTACTGGACATATCTTAATTCTTCATATTAACTGTAACTTTAATAAAATTAACTAACCTACCAGCAGAATCATAGAACCCATGAATGGACTAACAGTTACCAAAGGGAAAGGAACTGGGGAGAATGGGAGAGGGAAGGGAGGGATATGGGTAGGGAAAAAGAAAGGGGGTATTACAATTAGCATGTATAATATGGGGGGGCATGGGGAGGGCTGTGCAACACACAGAAGACTAGTGATTCTACAACATCTTAGTATGCTGATGGACAGTGACTGTGGTGAGGTTTGTCAGGGGCACTTCATGAGGAGGGGACCCTTGTGAGCATAATGTTCTCCATGTAATTGTAGATTGGTGATATCAAAAGAAAAAAAATTAACTAACCTACCAAACATAAGCTGTATAAAAGATAACCAAATTCCCTGTCATTGCTGCACCAAAAGATTATACCTTTTCTGCTGCACAACCAGATTCAGACATCCACAGGGATATGTGAACAACTTTTGTTGAGACTGTGGTAATAGTTGTGCTTCTCGTTGTCCTTGGGCCCAAGTATCACAAGGTGCTAACCATGAGTTTTCTGACATACACATTGCTTTCTTTATTGTGCAGTCAAGGATCATAGGGTGGTCCAAGGCAATAAATTAATCCACCCATTCCTGGTTCAGTTGTGTAAAGGGACACAGCCCTTACCTTGAATTATATAATACATATACAGACTGAAAGTCTTGGGAAAAATAAAAATATTAAAAACTAAAATAAAAACAAAATTAAAAGAGTTTAGTAGAAACACTCAGAAATAAGGAGTTAGCAGTTTAAAAGTTTTATGGCCATTTGGATGTTAGCCAAGGAAAGAAAAATCAGTGGAAGAGCAAGTGAGATGCTAAAGTTTGGCTGAAAGAGCATTTGAGGAACTGGGTATTTATGGGTCTTGAAAAAGAAGTTGGGTGAAAGAAGCCAATCTGAAAAGGCTAAATACTGTATGATTCTAGCTACATGACATTCTGGAAATGGCAAAAGTACAGAGACAGTAAAAAGACCAGTGGTTGCCAGGAACTGAAGGACAGATTAATAGGCAGAGCATGAAGGATGTTTAGGGCAGTGAAAATACTCTGTATGATATCAAACCAATAGCTACTTGTCATTATACATTTGTCCAAACCCATGGAATGTGTGACACTGAGAGTGCGTGTAATGTAAACGATGGGCTTTGAGTGGTGGTGATATGTCACAGATGCTCATCAGTTGTAGCTGATGTACCACTCTAGGGAGACATGGATAACATGGGAGGTATTGCATGTATGGAGCAGGGGTTATATGGAGAGCCTCTGTACTTTCCCTTCATATTTTCTGGTATATAAGAAGTAACCCTTTATTAACAAAAGAAATTGGAGTATAAGTAAGACTGCCATTGATACACATTTATAAAAGGAAGCATATTCTTAAGAAACAAGTATTCATATTTTTCATTATACTTACATGTATTTTCCTTTGGAAACAATTCTGATTATTGGTTTTGATTTGGATGCTAACTCCATAAGCTTGGGTGGCATACACATTGTGCTTTTTATTCCCACCCATCACTCAGAGAATTTGTATCAGATTTGCTACAGGTAGCAGCAAATCTTTGTTGACAAAATGAGAAAAATACACAGAAACCTACTGGGTGGGGCAAATGTTATATAAGCTGGGCCTCTAGTACCTGTGAAATCTAAAATAAATTTGACTTAACTTGCATAGGATAGTGATGATAGCCATGAGGAATTGGGCTTTTGTTGAGGAAAGTGTTTGCAATGATGATGTTTAGATGTTTCTTGGCATAAACAAGTGTACAGAAAGGGAGCCCTAAAAGCTATCAGCTAATGCTTACGTACTGAAGAGATATTTAATTAGGGAAGTAATTTTTTTCAGTTGTTTGCAATGTGGTAAGTGAAAGAAACCTTTCTCTTTGTGTCCTTACATTATCTTCTTTTAAGATTTACACAGTTTTTTTCTAAATATTTATAAGGTGTATTTATTGTTTTGTAAATGGTTGCTGATTTCTGCTTTAAGGATGGCATATGGGAAAATCAGATGCTGACTGTGTGAGCATAGACATAATGAGTTGAAAGTAACTTATATATTAATTCCTTAGCTCTACTTTCTTTCTTCTTCATCGTTATGGTAGTCTGCTTATTTTGAGTTTCTCACTTATTTCACTAGCATTTCCATTCCTTTATGCAAAATAAATTCCATCACCTAAATTTCTCTGCGATGCTTAGGTAGCTGACAAGGGGACTCAGAGTCTCCTCAGTGCTCTTAGCAACTTGGAAGAAAATGGATGGAAATTTAAAGGCTGTAGAGAAAATAAACTTGAGTATCACTGATGTGTAATCTTTTTATGTTCCTTTTCCCTTCTAGTTAATGCCACTTTGTAAAATGTGTAGGAAATCATCTGATGAAGGCTGTGACTTCCCTGAATATTGCAGTGGGGTTTCCTCGTACTGTGTGCCTGACACTCACGCACACAACGGACAAACTTGCGATTCAGGTGATTCCTTCTGTTACATGGGATGATGTCGGATGTTTACCAAACAGTGTAGAAATTTAATTGGAGGAGGTAATGACCATAACTTTCTTCTTGGTTCCTAATCCTGATTATTCTAAGCTCCATTATTCAATTCTATAGAACAAAAATGTAAATGTACTTTGTTAGTGAGTTGAGTCTTGCTAGTGGTATTAGTGTTAAGGGAAATCAAATTCTCTTGATTCTGAAAAACAAAAGTGAATTTATATGGAACTATTGTTTTCACAGGGACTAAGCTTCAAGTGGAAATGTAGTTATCTAGGGGATTATATAGAATTTGTGATGGTGGGGTTTAATTAAGTGAACACAGCAAGGCTAATCACTGATTGAGTAGAATTCAGGAGTGGGTCTGTTCAAAGCCGCTTGCTGATGAGTGATGGCTTCAGCTTATGGCTTGTATAGTCCAGTTTGATTAAGCTTCCTACAAATGTGTGGATCGTTAGCTTCATCAAAATATACAATTTCTTGCACACCCACAGTTCATGTTCTTTGAGAGTGAAATTTTTCATTCTTAGTCCTCTCTTTAGGCCTTCATTGTCCAGGTCATAGAAGAGAATTCCAAGTTATTGTCCAGATCAATATAAATGCCAGGACTTCAAGGAGGAGATGAGATACAGTTTTTTGTGATTATTATAATTTTGCTCTGCTCTTCTGCCAGAATCACCATTGTGCCATCTAGCAAGACAATGGCTACAGTAGTCTTTAAATGTAATTGCAATATACCTAACCAAATGACCATGAAAATTAGGAGGAACAGAAAAGTACTCCAGATCCATGATTCAATGTTTCTCCTATGTGAAACCAGAAAAGTAAATCTGAATGCTGACCAGATACGTTTAGAGCCAGACAGTGAGATGTCAGCTAGTGTCCCTCCAGTTATTTACCTTATTTACTGTTTCTTTAGTACTAGAAGTGATTTTGAGGGCTTTTTAAAGCCCTCTGTGGGAACTGGAGGTCTAAGTGCAACAGTCGTCCCCCAGAATACTACAAATTTATTCTTGGTGGCAAGTATAACACCTAAAGCATCTTTATTTCAAAGAAATGTCTGTCCAATCCTAGTGACCACTTGTGTTAATGCCTCCTGTATGTAAGTCTGGCCTGTCAATCAGCCTGTATACTTATTTTTGGAAAAGAGTCCCACTTTGAGAGCCTACTAAACATAATTTTCTTCATGTAATTGTAGATTAATGATAACAAAATAAATAAATAACTTTAAAAAAAGAGTCCCACTTTGTGTACCTCCTGCAGAGCTTGGGAGCAAAAGGAGGCTTGATCATTACTGTATTTCAATCCAAATTTGTCATAATCCTTTGATTATGTCATAATTCTTGGACTAGTTAATTGGAATGTTCTGGAGTAGGATTTGATATAATTCTGTAATAAGCTTTAGCTTTCCAAGATAAAAACATGAC